TTCTGAATGTTCATGGCGCAAAACAGCAAACATCTGGCATCACAAATCAAACTGCTTTTAGACTGACTAAAAAACCTATATAAAATACGGCTGCTTTGAAGTGCTCTACATGACTTTCCAACGCCCCTTTCCAGCCGGGTGTGGCCTTTTTTTCTTCTTCCCAACAAGCTTTCTCATATCTTAGACTGAACTATGTTTTTAAAAGTCAAAAACAAAAATGTGAGGCCACTTAAGACAACTTTTTCAACTTCTTCTGGTCTTAAAATATTTGAGATTTCCCGGGTCCAGTTTTCCATGAGAACAGCAGCAGTCAGACCATATGGGAGCCAGATATGTTTGAGAACAGTTCACGGGCTGTTTGTGTGTTTGCTGCCAGCATTTCACAGCTCCGTCTAAAAGCACCTCACTTACGGAAAACAAATTCTCACACAGGGGCTGTGTTTAATGGACTGACGAGGCTAAAAAAAACAAGTGAAAACTGATTTGATATTTTCCAGCTCGGGAGAATAACAGCACAAGGAAAGCAGTGTTTGCCCATTCAGGCGTAGTCTTGATTTAAATGCAGGTTTTTAACATCTCATGGGATTTACTCCAATTTCAACCCTGGTGCTGAAAATACAAAAAGATTGAAAATGGTCAAATTTAGAAATACTGAGTGCCAGCTGTTTGCATGACGTCCTTCATGTATAATAACTTTGTACATTTAATGAAGCAATGCAATATTTCACATTTATATAATTAAAATTATGTTTCAAGAGTACAGAGGTGTGAAATTAATGCTCTTCTTCAGCATTAGTTTATTAGTCCAAGACCTATTCACATGAAATTTTCAGGGTTCAAAAACACATTAAATCTCTGTTCAAAACTGCAGAAAAATGAATTTTACTCCCACTCTGAAGCTAAAATCTGTTTTTTGTTTACTTAAAGTGCACATAGATGAGGATCGACACCCTGGATGTGTGATCGGAATTCTGATTTATTAGAGAGAAAGGATCATGAAATTCCAGATAAGTTTCTGGACACATGAGCCAAAACTCAGACCAAGAAACTCTACGACCTTCCTTGAACCACTCACACAGTAGAAAACTAGAAATCACAGATGCTCAATCTGTGATTGGATGGTTGCACATCTGTAAAGGAGACTGAATGTTGTATACAAGCTTTGGGCAAACAGACAGCTTCTTACTTATTTCAGGAAGACAAAGCCAAAAATGCATCGTGCGCTTGTTCCAACAGCATGACTTCAAAGTAAAGGAACATCTAGAACTAAACTGATCAGTCTTCATTCCAGACTCGTCACCTACCAGAAAAACCTGGAGCATAATCAAAGAGGAAACCCAAGAGAGGACGCCCGGAACGGCGAAGCAGGTGAAATCATCAAGTACAGTGGGGCAAAAAAGTATTTAGTCAGCCACCGATTGTGCAAGTTCCCCCACTTAAAATGATGACAGAGGTCAGTAATTTGCACCAGAGGTACACTTCAACTGTGAGAGACAGAATGTGAAAAAAAAATCTATGAATCCACATGGTAGGATTTGTAAGAATTTATTCGTAATTAGGTGGAAATAAGTATTGGTCACCTCAAACAAGGAAATCTCTGGCTCTCACAGACCTGTAACGTCTTCTGTAAGAAGCTTTTCTGTCCCCCACTCGTTACCTGTATGAATGGCACCTGTTTGAACTCATCATCTGTGTAAAAGACACCTGTCCACAGCCTCAAACAGTCAGACTCCAAACTCCGCCATGGCCAAGACCAAAGAGCTTTCGAAGGACACCAGGAAAAGTATTGTAGACCTGCACCAGACTGGGAAGAGTGAATCTACAATAGGCAAGCAGCTTGGTGTGAAAAAATCAACTGTGGGAGCAATCATCAGAAAATGGAAGACATACAAGACCACTGATAATCTCCCTCGATCTGGGGCTCCACGCAAGATCTCATCCCGTGGGGTCAAAATGATCATGAGAACGGTGAGCAAAGATCCCAGAACCACACGGGGGGACCTGGTGAATGACCTGCAGAGAGCTGGGACCAAAGTAACAAAGGTCACCATCAGTAACACACTACAACGGCAGGGAATCAAATCCCGCAGTGCCAGACGTGTTCCGCTGCTGAAGCCAGTGCATGTCCAGGCCCGTCTGAAGTTTGCCAGAGAGCACATGGATGATACAGCAGAGGATTGGGAGAATGTCATGTGGTCAGATGAAACCAAAGTAGAACTTTTTGGTATAAACTCAACTCGTCGTGTTTGGAGGAAGACGAATACTGAGTTGCATCCCAAGAACACCATACCTACTGTGAAGCATGGGGGTGGAAACATCATGCTATGGGGCTGTTTTTCTGCCAAGGGGACAGGACGACTGATCCGTGTTAAGGACAGAATGAATGGGGCCATGTATCGTGAGATTTTGAGCCAAAACCTCCTTCCATCAGTGAGAACTTTGAAGATGAAACGAGGCTGGGTCTTCCAACATGACAATGATCCAAAACACACCGCCCGGGCAACAAAGGAGTGGCTCCGTAAGAAGCATTTGAAAGTCCTGGAGTGGCCTAGCCAGTCTCCAGACCTCAACCCCATAGAAAATCTGTGGCGGGAGTTGAAAGTCCGTGTTGCTCGGCGACAGCCCCAAAACATCACTGCTCTCGAGAAGATCTGCATGGAGGAATGGGCCAAAATACCAGCTACTGTGTGTGCAAACCTGGTAAAGACCTATAGTAAACGTTTGACTCTGTTATTGCCAACAAGGTTATGTTACAAGTATTGAGTTGTATTTTTGTTATTGACCAAATACTTATTTTCCACCTGATTTACGAATAAATTCTTTACAATCCTACCATGTGGATTCATGATTTTTTTTTTTCACATTCTGTCTCTCACAGTTGAAGTGTACTCTGGTGCAATTACTGACCTCTGTCATCATTTTAGGTGGGGGAACTTGCACAATCGGTGGCTGACTAAATACTTTTTTGCCCCACTGTAAGAATGGGGAAACACTCTGTTTTTCATGTTGCAACAGAGTGTTACACTTTGATAAATTTGCACCCATCTTCTTGTTCTTTCTTAAATAAACACGTTGTTGAGCAGATATTTAAAAGGCAATCACATTTTTCACCTCTCTGATTTTATTTGTTGTTTTGCACCCAGCGTTTCAGGAAACAGAGTCCACGGCATGATGCAGAGAAGAGATAAAAACTAAAGTTACACTGTGTTAGGCACTCTGGGCATTTTGATGAAGGATGCTGCAAATAAAGCTTATAGGAAATCAAAATTAAAATGATTAAAATGTCCATCACACAGACTTGGAAGCAAACACAGTCGAGCGTAAGCGGATTTGTAGCACAGGCTGTTTCTATATCAGAGCACAAAACGGAAATTTGTATCCTGTTGGGAATGGTGAGAAAGGAAAGACAACGCCAAAGTCAACCCCAAACTTCCACAAATAGCCTCTAAACGTATTAAGAGCTTGCTGTTTTTTGCTTTCTTTTTTAGAGATGATTCAATTTTATGTTTACACGAGAGGAAATGCCCTGCTGCTCGGTGTTTGTAGCAAAAGAGTAAAATCAGTAAATACAAAAACCTGCCTCCAAACAACATTGTTTTAAAATACAAGCTTGGACACATACAGTAAACATTGACTGTAAACCACAAGTTCAAATGTCCTGAAGGAAATCCTTTCATAACTTTTCCTACAAAAACATTGCTGCTTAAATCTAACACACTCAAAAGTTGAAGATGCAGTAAGAGCAAAAACATAGAAGCAAAGCTTTTATCTGGTTACCTGCTGAAGTTTTTCCTCAGAAATATCACATCAGCCTAAACCAAGCGTGCCTCAAGAACACACTGATCCTGAAACCAATCATCCGTTTCATGACGAGCACAAAGTGATTAACTAAAAAGAACAGTCTGTGGCCATTGAGGCCATTTTGTTCACATAAGAAAATAACTATCACTCTCATTTTTTTTTTTTTTTTTAGATACCTACGACAAAATATTACTTCCTTTGTTTCCGAATCACTTCAGCTTCACCCCAGAAATAAAAGGTGCATCTTATTTCACCCCAGTTTGGTTAAATATGTGTGTTTACTGTGTTGCTTCATTTAGATCACTTTAATAAGAGCCACTGGTGAAAAACATAACAGTGAACACAAATCTAAGTTCTTCACACGATTTATGGGACAACATTATTTCCTCTGCATTCACAAAGGACGGTTAAACTCGCTTTACATTATACAGCCTGCTTTGAGCATAAGATATTCCACTTCCTGTCAGTGTGAAGACGTTTAACCGAGACATCTTAATGTGAGAAAAGCACATCGCAGTATTTATAAATGATTAAGACATGCTGCTAGAGTAAATGAAAGAAATCCTTCAGTGTGAGTAAATTAATGTGTAAAATTAGGTCTGGTAACTAATTTCACAGACTTTGCAACAATTATAAAATCTCAGAAAGCTTTTATTTTATTCCACTTTTAGGCTAGTTTAGTATTTAAAAGAAAAAAGTAAAAAAGAATTACCTGTTTTGAAAAGCCCGGGAAGTCTTTATCATTAGCAAAAGTTGTAAAACTTATGAAAACATAAAGTCCAACATTTATGGGGTCCAGATTGGAGTCTTCACCTGGCTAATTCTGTGGCTAACCCTGCTGTAATATTTCCATTTGACCACAAGGTCTGGGTTACTTCACCCAACTTCTTGAGAAAATTAGATGAAAGCTGTGGCAACACCAGCACAACCAGTCTGGAATGATATGAGATGCTGTCCAAAAAGGCTTTGCAACTCTGCCAAGAAAATAAATCTAAATTTTAAAACAGTGACCAATTTGAATTAGGCCACTTCCTTATTCAAGGTCATCTCCTTGTGTCATTTCAAGATCAGGTCACTGGGTGACTTCTTCCTTTTCCCTTAAATGAAATTCATGTTGAAGGATCCCCTTTTTGAAGAAACCGAGTGCTTAGTCATTGGGCTGATGGGGTAATATCAATAATCACGTCACACGAAACAAGCAGAGTTCTGTTTTTGTCTTTATTTAATAAGCTGGTTCATAAATAATCACACATAAAAGATTCTTTCAGTAGTTACAAAGTGGGTAGCAACTTAGTTAGCGCCTGGAGAAAAAAAGATAAAACAAATGAAGAGAAGACTGCCGGCGGGTGGGGGAAAGTTTATGGAGAGCGATCTCAACAACTCGGGAGTTCATAAAGCGGAGCAGAGAAGACGGAGCCGACGGGAGGGTTAAACATCCGACTGGTGTCCCATCACGTTCCCGGCAGCCGTCGCTCATCAGCAGACTAGCAGCGGACAAAAAGGCGGCATGCGTGTCGCCGTTCAAAGCACATGCCCGATTTTTGTTTCTGTTCTCCAGTGTTTTCAAAACAGTCTTGAAATGAAACAAAGGGAAGGGAATGTATCGGGAAATTAAAAAAAAAAAAAAGGAAAGAAAAAGAAAGAAAAAGCACAAGCTACATTTTAGGCTCACAAAACAAACTGAAATAAAAGATGTTGAAGTGGCATCTTCTTGGCTCGACTTTCTCCTCCTCCTCTCGGGAGCGATGGATTTACGAGAAGGTTAAAATGTTTGACAGTGGTTAAAGAGGCGGCAAGAGCCGCTGCAGGATGTTTGTTTTTTAGCAATTTCATTCGTTCATTCATTCTTTTCGGTAACTCGTTATTCTTTTCTAAAACTACCTCTTCCCTCCCCTTCTGCTGGTCTAATCGCAGGTGACCAACAAGCTTTGATTTGAATGAGACCGTTTAAAAGAAGGGGAGGAAACTCGCCTCGCTAAAACTGGTCTGACGCAGCGATGGGTGTCCATTGCTGGCTAACACTAGCTTTCACTCTATCAGGTTACAAGTCCTTTCACGCTCTTGTTTAAGGAATCTAGTGGTCAAAGTTTTTCTCAGCGTGATGGGAGTCTACTTGGACACTTGCTGCTGAATGTGCTGCAGGAATTCATGATAGGAAGAAGCCCACTCTGACCGGTCCTCCACCAGGTGCTGGAACAAAGTGGCTTTAGCCGAGGCATCATCTCTGCGGGAAAGAAGGAAAAAATGCATTAAAGGGAAAGAAGAAACTGGTTTGTACATTTTAATGCTCTGTAAGTCTAAGAAGTGTTGGAATCTATTCCACATAACTTGAAGCATTGCTGACATGTCAGCTCTTAAACACAACACTCTCCTGCATCTTCTACCTCACTGACTCTGAACTGACAGCTGTTCGTACAAATCCCCAGCATGAGAGTTTTTCTCTAAGAGTTTGCGGAGCCACCTCCTCAGGACCACCTATTCAGCAGTCAGAGCCAAAGCCCTCCCTGCCTGTTTTTTTCATCTTCTCTCTTTTTTTTTTTTTAAATGTCTGTCTTTAATTTCAAAAAGACATCCATGAAGGACGAGTTCCCAGGCTGGGCGAGACGTTGCTGGCTTCTCTAACCCGACTTACAAGAGCAGAAACTGAACGTCTGATCTGACGTCTGGTTTCTCTCTCAGAGCTCGCAACTGCTTGTAGTCAGACCTTGGCTTTACTTTGAGAAATATATTCCCAATGCAAAAAAAAACCCCAAAACTGAGATTTGCCAGAATGAAATGTTATAAAAGTGACAAAACAAGAGCTATTAAGGAGCCGCCTTGAGCTCTGGAGATAATGTGGTGTGATATTTTTATTTATTTGACATTTAACAGGCTTTAGAAAGTCCCGCATAAACAATAAAGATGTAGCTCTCTGCTGCTTAGCCGTCTGCCTCTTTTGCCCCTTTGTTGCTATGCTTATAAACAGCTCATTGCGCACCTCTTCATTGTTTAACTGATACCTACAGTGTGTCTAAAAAAAACAGAGATGACGGTCTTACGTGTAAATGTCATTCTGCCACGTAAGTGCTCTGGCAGTAACAGGCACACAGCTTTGATGTCTGGACCAAAAAAGGGGGAAACACCATCAACAAGGCTCAGACGGAGCAGAACATGAGCTCAGTCAAACCAGGACATACTTGTACATATACGCAGAAATACAGGGGTCGATGCTTTAAATGTACTTTTTATGCTGTAGTAATCTCTCTGAGCCAAAAGTTCAGGTTGCAAACGACCCTAAAAGCTGTTTTCTTCTACTCTTTGCTCTGTATGATCTCACAGAGAGCAGGATTGGTTAACACAGTCACCTCAGGCAAAGCTCTGGCCAGTCAGAAAAAAACTGGCTTAAAGGGAGAAAACCTTAAACAGCTTGTGTCCCCCTGGGAATAAACTGGGTGCATGTCCATGAGATGAAGGCTTTAAATGCTTTGTCCCTTCCTTCACGGAGCATCAAATAACACCAGGAGTCTTTCAGAAACATGGTGTTAATTCTTAAGGCTTTTAATCTGAAAAGTGACGTATTTTTTATGCCATTCTAGTGTCCGACTTCCTGTCCACATCATTCTGAATGATGTCGAGTTGAGAGCTGCTTCTGGGACACTTCTGAAATGTTGAAGTACAATCTGATAGAACTGCAAGCCATCATTTCATGAAGAAGGGTGGATTATTGTGAACTATGACTCATGCAGAGCTACTCTAGCAGAGATCAAGTCCAAACACTGAGGTGGAAATGAGGAGAATAGATCCCTTTAACTACACATCCATTGGCTTCTCTGTCAGGTGCCCATCCGCTTTTTCAAATATTCGAACATTGCTTCCTTGAATATTTTAGCCACTCTTTAAAGTTCTTGCACTTTTAATATCATTAAAAAAACAAACAAACATATCAACAACTGAGAGGTTCGAAGTCACAGAGAACTTGAAACCACTTTAAGAGCCGTTTTTAATTCTTTTGTCAAATCTCTCTCGTAGTTCCTGTCATTTCAGATCATTAAGTCCTGTCATCACGCAAACATCTGTTCAAATACCACTCAGTGCATTTTTACTAACATGTCATGTAAACATGTGGCTAAGCAACAATGCCGTACCACCAAGAGGAGGAGAGAGAGGAAACCGAAACAATGCGTTCCCTGCGGATGACTTTACCGCCGCTGTCAATCTGTGACCTCAATGCTCACTATGTCTTTGTGTTTACACTTCGGAAATACTTTTCCGTCAACCTCGTGCCGATCTCTGCTATATGAAACTGTCCACACCTAGTTTCTGTTCAATGCCAATCAGAGCAGCTCACTATCTGGATTTACGAGATTCCAGGGAGGTGACGAAGCAGAAGGGCGAACTCGGAGAGGATGTGCAGTATCAGACAATCGTAATGTTCTTTATTTGCTTTATTTCCTCATGAACCTCAACAGAATGTCAGATTTAATTTGGCCAAGTAGCCGATAGATATAAAAAGGCACCTATCACATGACTGGAACATTAAACTTAACGCTGAACCCGGAGGTTCACAGGAATGAGAGATGATTCTTTTTAATTTGAAGTTTATTACTTCCAAAAATTATTGCCTACTTTTTTCTGTCAGTAATAAGCCAGCTCAGTGTCCAGTAGTAACGGCTCACTGTGCAGCTGTCCTGACACAGCATCCACAGAGCCTGTGCTCCAGTTTAAGTGAAGTTTTAGGATTTCGTCAGTCTGTTAGTTCGCACTCATTACCAGGTGTCTTTGTGTACAGTTTAAAAACACAGGTTCTGGCTAACATGGCGGTGGCCAAAACACTAATGCTGAACCTTCAAAATGAGTCCAAAACCAGTGGTTGATGCCACGATAGGCTGTGTGCCTGCAATCTTTTATGACATGTGAGGCCCTGAGGCGACTTTAAACAAGTAAAACACAAATGACTGCTCGCTTGGGGTCAGCAACTCTCTGTGTTCCCAACAGAGCACAATCCCTGCTTTACACTTCAAACCTCAGTTTTCTGCAGTTCCGTCTTTGGCGACAGAGCAACTCAACACTTTTTCCTTCAGTGACCTCAGATTTTGTATTAAAGCAATATGTGAGATCCATTTCACGCAATTAAAAAAAAAAAGAACAAAACAAGCTGTCTATGTATATCTGTGACTGCCCTGAAGAAGAAGCACAGTTTCCAGTGTGTTTGCAAACAGTCAGATATGAGTCCAGATGTGCGGCAGTGCTTACTTGACGACATGTATCGTGGAGCTGAACGCTCGGTTGTCGTGGAGCCAGTCGAGGAAAGCTCGCACCCTCTCAGAGAGAGGAGTCTCCAGCTCCGGAATGTGACTCTAGGAACCAAAGAGGACAAGAGGGGAAACAAAACAACAACGCTGTTGTTAGTGGAGTGTTTCAGATAGCGCAGATTCACACAGTCAACCCCAGCCATACAATGTGGTTAACGGGAACATGCCTGTGGTGGGGAGTGTGGGCTTGTAGGTGGATCTATGAGGCACTGACCCCTTGCTAGAAAGATAAAATAAGCATAAACAAGTGCTGACTCGCCGTTTGCTCTGGGTGTTGCCATCAGGCCCTCGGCGTGGTAATGACAGAACTTTCTAGGTGGCTGCACAGTTTGTTAAAAAAGCAGAAAAGCTACATCAGCAAGTCTGTTCTGCTGGACAAGTTGTTTTTTTCTAACTAAGTGAACAGAAACACAGCTCCTTCACTGTGGAGCTCAACTGTGAGTCATTTTCAGGGGAAACAAAATGTCGCATTGCATCATTCAGCCAGCGACTGGGCGGCGCACACACGCGTGTGTGTGTGTCAGTACAGACATTTCCCTAATCACACTTCTCTGTAACGTCCTGATGTGCTGGATGTAGAGGGAAAATAAAAGCTTCATTGTACTTCAAAAGATTAATTGTCTCTTTGAACTGTTTGCATGTGTCCTTCTACTCAAATGAGTCTTACTGACCATGTTGGGGGAATTGAAGCGTAGTTCGGGCAGCCCAAAACATCTCGGATGAACATTTCGTTGCAGCATTTGCCAATCCACAGATAAAACACCTGGACAGGCAGAAGAGAAGAGGAGCATTACCGCACAGTATACTTTGTACACACTCTGACATGTGTGCGTCTTAATCTGCCATAACTAAAGAGCCAGCAGGGCCAATGTTATTAATATCACCACTCTAAACTATGACAGTGAGGAAGAAAAAATAATAACAAAACAATTATAACAATAATTTTCTCTTTTAGTTTTTTCTAGGGTTTTTCCCATAAATTTCTATTTCTTATCAATTCCCCCCTTCGTATGCATCCTCCCATAAATTTGACTGTTTTTCTCATAAATGTTTTTTCCTCATAGATTAGAAATTTATAATTCTTTCTCTTAACTTTGAGTTTTTTCTTGTAAGTTTTTTTATTTTCAATAAATGTGTGGCTTTATGTTTTGCCTTGTTTGTTTGTTTTTTGTAATATTAAAACCCTCCCACCTTTTTAAAAAAAATCTTTATTGCCACCAAATACGCCATTGCACTAGTGAGAAGTTCACTCAGAAATTAGATTTGGTACCAAGTTTAAACTTCAAACATCTAACTACCCTCCATTTATTACTGATACTTTCCAGTGATAGTCTGAAGATTGGAGTGTTTCGGTTTCTTTCTGTATTTAATTTGCTCCAGTGGAAAATCCCTTTAAATTAAATTATGTGACATTAAACCTAATGAAAACTGGGCTCCAGTGCTGCTGCTGATGTTACTCCGAGGCAAATAATGAGACGATAAATCCCAACTCCAGTCCTCAAGCCATCACATATTATTTCAGGCAAAGATAACTTCTCTTTGATTTGCTCTAAATTATGACCTAAGGTTTATTGCATTTTATTAAAGGACTAGATGGAGAGAAGACAGAGACGTGAAAAATATAAACGAGGTGAAATAAAGACTTCTCGGAGCTTACGTTGCCACAGTCCATGAGGAAAGCTCCATCTCTGCTCAGCCTCTCAGCAGACAGGTGGAGCAGATGAGGCTGAGGGACTACGGTATCGTTCAGATGAAGCGCCCCCTGCAGGTCAGACAACTTGTGAGCAGAGTATAAAAACAGCTTTACTATATACATGTGCAGACAACATATACATAATAATTACATAGTGTCACAGGTAAAGCTCCCAAAGCTTCAAACAGAGAGCATACAAACATTAAAGTCTGATATTACCTCATTTAAAATATGTCTCCACTATAATATAATCTTCATAATTCTTGTTATTACAAGTGTTTAAAAGTAAATGTTACACGTGAGACTATTTTCACATTTTTAAATACAACTTTAAAAGAAACGTTCAGTGAAAAAAAAGCTGATGCATATAATGCAAACTAAAAAATAAACACTAAAATAAAAGTTTTAATCACGTTTATTATGACATTTCTGTCATTGAGTTAAATCCTTGTTGTTCTAAAGATACCACAAGCTTAAAACACAGTTTCCTCATAAACATTTCAAGTCATCTGTTTTAACTAGCAAAAGCAATCCCAATGATCCCAAACCAATTTTCACCAAACTTTCTGTGAATTTCCAGAGAAAAAAAGCAGACTGGCTTTGCTCTTAGTCATCATAATGTTCAGGATTAAGGCTTTGATGTGACACCTTACCAGATGCTGGGATTCCAGTGTTTTTAGGCAAGACATCTAAGTTATCTAAAATATCTTATCAGCTCACTGTTACATTTAACCACTTCGCCAGGTATAAAAAACAACCTAAAAGAGTGAGTCAAGCCATTAAGCACAGGTTTAATAATAAAGTTGCACTGCATACAGAGATATATATGTTAACGATGTTATGTTAATGGGTTAAATAGTAGTCATTTTGTTTTTCCCTCTCTCTACTATTCTTTAGTGCACTGAGTTATGAGAAAAGCCATCTGCATCCCACCTGGTCAGAGATGTTGTCCAGTCGGTAGAGGTCAGGATGAACCATTCGCATCAGCTGCTGCAGCGGCTGAGTCTTGAATTCGCACATGGCAAAGACCCGCTCGTCCAGCCTCGTGCTGGTGCCCGTCCGCAGGGCTTTCTGAAAGCAAACACACATCACATCAGCAGTGTTGGATTTGATTTCTCTGATTTATTACGTCAAGAATAAGAATAAGTTCAAAGATCTATAAAAATTAAAAATGCAGAGTAAAGCTTTAGCCCCATTTGCAGAGTAAAACAAATCCTTTTGCTAAAAATGGAGAATTAAACTGCAACAAGTTCAGACAAAACATTGTGGTAACAGTTTAACCTTTAATCACCAGGAATAATAGGCCATAATGTGTTCTTTCAATTAAACAGTGATGTTTCCGAAGTTTATTCTCTGATTCATCAAAGGAACACACTGTTAGAGTCCCACAAACACCTACAGGGAGGATTTGTCTCAGAAACAGGGTGTGTATGTGCTTCTGAACATGGACACACCCTGGATGTATGAATGCACACATGCCGGGTGGATTAATAGTCTTTAACCCAGGCATTGTGACTGTGAGCTCACACTTTTCTACTGTGTAACATTTGGTCAGAGGGTGTTTTGTTTTTAGGGTTTGTACTCAACTACATCTTAAAATGCGTAATAACGTTTTGCAGGTTTAGTCAGTAAAACAAAACTCTCTCCTTTTACCTCAAAGTGAATTTAAAAAATAAAACTTTCCAGAAGAAGTCTGCTAACAGGGAAAAGTGGAGGGCTGCATGCTTAAACACACATTCACAGCCTTTTCTTCTCCTTCTTTTTTAGTGTATGTCATGCTGTGTGACGCGTGTGTGTTCATGTGCCGATGACAGTCAGGCAGCCGCACCTGTTTAAGTAGAGCAAGGATGTAGAGGGGGAAGAGACGCATGGCTGCAGGAGGACAAGTCCAGACTGCTGAAGGTTGGAGACGTTGCTCTTGTAGGCGCTCCCCAAGTCCACCACCGCATTCACCAGTGCGTCCCGGGCGTCCGACAGGCTGGATGATATCGATCGATCGATGGCTGGATTGAAAAGACCAAATGAAGACTAGTTTACCTCCAAGACAGCATTTTAATCAGTTCTGAACACAAAGTTAAGTTAACAAAAGCCCAGAGTACGTCCTGATGAGACATGTTTACAAACTAGGGCTGTGCGATATGATGAAATATATCACATGACAAAATGAAAACATCGTTTCAAATTATTTGCTATCGTTTGTTTCGTGGTGGCGCAAACTACGCTGTTTTTCATTGTGGCACAGAGAATACCAGCATTGCCAGTGAAGATGAGGCAGAACCAGGTAGCTCCAAACAGAAGGACCAGTCAAAACAAAT